TCATATGTCAGACAGTGTTGTCTTTTTGAGATGCAATCTTTTATTCTTCCTACAATAATATGAGATCATAAAGCTTGCTTTCATCGTGATAAACAAACTGTGTTCAGGACATGACTATAGATTACATTTTAATCTATTTAAATTCCAAACTATATCCATCTGGCACAACAAAAAACACAGAAACAAAGTAAAGTTGGATAAGACAACACTATCATTTTGGAGAAAACCAGCAAACATGAAGAATGAAACTTGCCTTTTAGAGCATATGGGTATCCATTTTTTTATTTGGGGTGACATTGACCCCCTCATGTGGGCTTTGTTTCATTCCCCGCCCTCTATAAACGCAATAAAGAGCATCAAATCAAATTGTTGAAACGAGTAATCATATGTTGAATAATTATTTTTAGGGGAAAACTAAAGCAACAGTATGCTTAGTGAACACAATCGGTCTTCACAAAACTGTCATTACATCTTATCTTGAATTGTTAGGATTACGTAAAATAGCTGAACAATAAAGTTGGAATATGATTCTGTTAGAAACATGGCTTTTTGCTTTACCCTGGTTTTCCCCAAACTACTACACACTAAAACTAATTAATTCTTTAATTAACACATAAATTTTGCTGTTCTGCTAACTCCTACAATGCTGCTGATTCATATCTTAAATTCTCATAAATCGAAAGGGCTCCAAAGATATTGCGTAAAGGTGACATTTAAGCAGCATTTTATGTCTAATTTTCAGCACTCCTAGAAAATGAACGTGCTTAATATAAGGCAATTGAAGTGCTTCATAGCATTACATAAAATACTGACCCTGAAATATTGAGATTTATAATGTCACAGAGGCTATGATGTCATTAAATCATATTGTAAACAGAAATAGTTATTTCATTGCCCTAGGTGCCTGATTAAAAGGCCCTATCATTGTTTAATACCACGCTTGCCAACTATGTAAGCAAAAACACATCCATTGATTTAATCAATACAGGCTGCTCCTGCACATGTTACAATTCACACACACAGAAATGAATACAGACAGCTTTCTAATTACTCATAATGTGAGGCCAGGATGGACAGACCACTAATAGGCTTTTTATAATGACTCTAATACTTTATTTTTATAGGAGGACTTATAGACAACACCCAGGCACTTTTAAAATAGCACTTCGGGGCTGCAGTGCTACAAAAAAGCATTGGGCCGCATCATATCTTTTCTCTTAAGCAAAATGTCAGTACCTCAGCAACAGTTATGTAGGCTTAGCAAATAAATGGTAGACAATTTATTTACATCCTCGCAGTTATTTTATTTTATCTCTCTATTTATTATCTCTTTGTTTTATTCCTAGGGCTGTTTTAGAACATAGAAGCAAGGCCTTCTCAGTTTGATGTGGGTGTTGTTGTTTTGGGTGAGAACCAGATTCACACTCACAGATTCACACACACACACAGATTACCACACACTCACAGATGCTGGCAGTGTCAGACTCACAGATTCACACAAATATATTAACATAGATAAACATATACAGATTCACACTCAGAGATACACAAACAAAGATTAACACACACTCACAATTCAAAAAGATTCAGACTCACAGATTCACACACACACACAGATTAAAACACATGCAGGTTCACACATACACAGATTAACACACACTCACAGATTCACACTCACAAATTCACAGACACACAGTTACACACACACACGCATTAAAATTCTAAAAAAACTAGGGGCATTGGGAGGAGGAGGCTGACCAAGGGATAAATCAGGGACTCAAGGTTATGGACATGTTTCTCACTGAAGTTCTGGCGCTTGAAATTATTTGTTGTGTGTGCCAGAACATCAGTGGTTTACTTCACTTACAATAATATGCAGCAGTGCTCTGTGCTGGTTCAACTGTCTCCCAGGTCACAGTGGCAAAATCCCCAATCATGTCTGGCTATCTGTGTGCTGCAGGTGGCCACCCACAGGACAACACATGCATCAGAGTTCCTTAATGCAGGAGCTGATAACCAGGAGCAGGGCAGGAGTGGGGACGTGAGGTGCTGAGCTGCTAGGAGACAGTTCAGATTTCCCTACAGCCAGAAGCCATACTTCCGCACTGCACCAATGATATAACAAGTACAAGTGTCATGATTGACTACAGTGCACACACAGTGTGCTGTACATAGAAAGCCAATCCCCAGCAAGCACAAAGACCCACATTTCATCCCCAACACAAACACACGTACACGTTATCCCCAGCACACACACAGATACACTACATCACCAAAACACACAGAAACACTGCACTCAAGCACAAACACACACTACATCGCCAGAACAAACACACATACACATTACATCTCCACACACACTGCATCCAAAATCCCTCACACACACAATGCATCCTATAGACACACTGCATCACACACACACACACACATACACACACACACACTACATCCCCTATCACATTCTTCATCCCAAATGCATACTGAAATATCAGCACCCACAATATATTCATTACACACTTACTGCTTCCCCAGCAAGTAGGTTTCTCCCAGTATTGTTTTCCAGTAGGTTTCTTCCCCTACACACTCATTACCTCTGATACACACAATGTCCACTATAAACACTCACACTGCAGAAACACAGACATATCATCAATAAACCTACAAATTCCATATGGCAGAAACATAAATGCTGGCCATCCAAATGCAGCACATAAGATTGTTATTCAAAACTAGCCCAAAGTGCTACTCCGCTCATAAGCCAAGAGCTATTTACACACAGAAATGCAGCACTTTATTAATGGCTGACACCATATTTTGTTTTGTTTTTTTGTATACTTTATTAACAGTCTGGCTGCAACACAGCAGTCACAAATTCCCAAAACAATACCTGACAGGAAACGTAGGCACACACATTGCATTCTCTAGACACCCACTGCATCACCAGCCCACATACATTACATTCCCTACACACTACATTGTCTACATTGGCACACTATATCAACTTCACACACTGCCTTACATATACACATACCGCATACCCTACACAAACTTAATCCACTACACAAACACTACATTCCCAACACATGCACTCATGATATACCAAGTTTATGCATTTACTGCTGATTGATGTGTGATACAAGGTTTATGCATTTAATGCACATATAGCATTCCTTTGTTGGAAAATCCTTCAGAACTAATTTTACTGAATGCTTGCCTGGTTGGGGAGATATCTCTTATTGATAAGTGATGTCAAAGTGTCAGTGGGCAGGATAATTGCTCCCTGGGCTGCTCTCTAACCACCTTTTACATTGAAATGCCCAAGTACATATCAATTTAATTATATCTATTTAGTTTTTTGGGATGTTTATTAACCTATCTATTTTGTTTGTGCACTTGTGTTTATTGCTGATGTTAACGGGTGGGTTGGTAAAATTGCACTATGGAACACAAAACTGTTTTACCCTCCCTCCCCCCAGCTACAAGTTGCCAGTCCTCCCCTGTTCTGCCCCATCATCTGTCAGTCCAAGAACCAGGAATTTTATATTACAGACATGCCCATATGGAATGTGGGTCCCAGGCCACTGGCTGCATCATGTGTATTGATGAGGGGGCCCAGCTCTCCAATATACAAGCTCCTGGCAGCCTGCACAAAGCCACTGAATCACCAAGGAGTGTAATTTCCCTCTCACTGGCCACAAGTAAAAGGAAGGGAAGGTGGAATAAAATCAAAATATGTTTTTTTTTTAAACAAGAAAATCAAAACTTGTTAACCCCAGAATGCAGCCCCTACCCTATTCTACAAATTTCTACACTGCTCGCTGGCAAACTGTGAGTCAGCACTACTATGACACCTGTTGTGTATGTAATCTGTGAGTATAGTGACCACACAGCAATTTTACAGTATGCCTTATGAAGTGAAGCATTGAATTCCATACAGCTCTGCATTATACAATGTCCATAAGCTTTGCTATAAAAATAACCCATATAAAATAATATAGATGGACGTGGTACAGAAAACACATTTAGCTTATGTCATACATCCCACATGACAATTTATTGTACTCCTTTTTGGTTTGTTTTTGTTAGTGATTGACATCTATTGTACTTAGCTAATATTTTAATACCACTACAGAAACATATATGTTACGATGTCTAATTTAGTATGCATTGCTCTAAACATTTTACTGGAATGTATTGATCTTATCGTTATCCTGATTAGTTTCATTTATCATTATATAACATAATGGATTTGGGTGTGTTTTGGTGGGTGTGGATTTGGTGGGGGGCAGTGTTTCATCCATGGACCCAAGCAGCACAGTGTCATTGGCTGGCCTTGCATTTGTGCTTTCCATTACCAGCCATCTCTTGGCTTACTAAAACACAGGATGGCTTTTCATTGGTCCATAGGATTGCTCAATGCTGTGTTTACAAGTTAATGTTGAATCTACCTCATGTGTGGCTTTCATAGATGACTGGGAGGGAATGATATGCTGTTATATGACTTCCTCCCAGCACTGGGGTAGAGTGGGAGGGAGAACCAGGACAGTGGACCTTTTATGAACATGCTCTGTCAATTCATTCTGTATCTGGCCCTTCCAGTAACCTGGCATCTTATAGATTATTTCTATCTATCTATCTGTGTCTATCAGTCTGTTTTTTTATATATGCATTTAATTTTGTATATACATATTTCATTTTCTATATATATATATGTGTATATATATATATATATATATATATATATTTCTTCTCAACTTTATCACATGAGGGGATATTTTAATATAATACACATTTGTGGTTATAAATTCTATGAATATGTATTGATATTTCATTGATTAAAATACTCTATATGTTCCCATTCTTTTTATTCACTGATATAGATTGTATGTATAGATATTGGTGATTATTTGCTATGTCCTCCCACTGTACTCTATTTACATATAGATATCCACATATAATTATTTTCTTTTTCCCTGTCCACAACTTTGAATTATTTCCAGGACATTTTTGAGTGTGGAACGCATTTGCGTTCCACCAGAGACGGAATGTGACATCACAAAGAAGAGAACCGGAAGAAGAATTGCAGACGTCAATGGAACGCATATACGTTCCAAGCGGAAAAGACCAATCGGAGGAAGGAATTCGACGGCGGAAACTGCTCCCATCATTGTAAAGAGAACACAGCTGTGAGGACTGTTTCGGGTTAGCTGATGGTGATCCGGAGGTGGATCTATATTTCACTTATAACCTGCTTATGTTTGCATGCTACTAACTACCGATCTTTTTCAACACCTTAAACTAATACCCCTGATGAAGTCTCCTGGGTGTTTTTAGCTGCATTCCCTTACATCATTTTCCTGAGGAGAGGCTCTTTGCACATTGCACTTTACCATCGTTCCAGTTTCTTCTAAAATTTGATGACGGGCCTTTAATTTTAAACATTCTTGTAAGTATGACCAATAAAATTAATTTGTTAAACTTTTATACAGTGTTGCACTTTTATGTTGCTTTTATGCTTCTTTTGCATGCATTCTCAAGGATTCTAAGTAATCAGATCAACCACAACTGGATTTATTGAAGAATACATCGATGCACCAGATGAGCCTAATTTTCATTTAATTTTGTGAGTTTAACATTGAACATGTTTTTACTCTATTACTCTATGTGTGGTCCTGTCTGTATTTTTACTCTATTACTCTATGTGTGGACCTGTCTGTATGTCACCTTGTGTTAATGTTTTGAAGGAATCTACTTGTATTTATATAAAATTATGTATTTTCACATTCAAATATGCATTTTAATGTAATATGCAATATAGTGTAATGTGAACATTCAGTAATGTGAACCTGCCCTGGATCTTTTCAAATTCCAGGTTGATCGCTCTCCAGTTCACTTTTACATAGGTAAACCCAAAACGTATTACATTTGTAGATACATTTTAATTACCCTTAAATTATACTATTGTTTATTTTCCAGCAAACATTGTGTACTTTGTGGATGAACCTTCTGGTACAAATACATTTTATTAACAATTGTAATGGATTTAATGAAGTAGAAGAGTCCCTGCAATGCTTTTTTGTTGAGCCAGAGTGTAGCAGCCGTTTGTATAAACACTGAGCAGGCAGCTGATTACTAGCTGCTTATTTTAGCTTAAATAGCCGGCTGTCAAATCAGCGATACATTCATATGCTAAGCAGATGGTATCACTATGTAATGCCTTAAAAGGTTATGTTATTTGTAGTGGTAAATATGCTTTAGTTTCCTTTTTCTTTTTTTTTTTTTTTTACCATTCATTGACTTTTAGCATTGTTGATGTCTATTTACTGTGCGACAACAAAGCTCTGACATTCCCATTTAAAAATATTAATTTATTAATATAAGACTGACAAAAAAAAAAGACTAACAATATATAACGGATAAAATCTTTTTGTTACTGAGCCGTATTGAAGTGTAGGGGTGAACTGAAATGCTGCTGGGTAGGAAGGGATTGCACTGCTCACACAGCAATTACAGTCACGGTACAATCCCCCCCATGCCACCCTGTGTACCGTGTATACCAAAGCTAGGGATGTCATACTGACATTGTTTGTGAGACTTATATCACTTTTATACTCTATTGCATATAGCTTGAAAGTGATGCCTGTGTTATGAAGAATTAATGTGCTCCAAGTGAAAAATCTATCGATTAACAGAATCTTTTCGATCCTGGAAGTGACTGTAAATGTATTCTATACAATGGAAGTGGAGGAATTCCACCTACTGTTGGAAAAAAAGGCTTGTGCACAGCAAGAAAATTTGGTTCACCTTGTACCATTTTTATCCAAAAATATTTGTTTTCTGTAAAGCTGAAAATGAGTGTCAGCAGAAAATAAGAAACAAGAAACCGAATCAGACAAAGCAAAAGACTACAAAGTGATGCCAATCATTGTACTGGAAAATATATACATATATATTTTGCAGCACACACATAGAACCATTTTCCTGATATTTGGTTCACAGGTCAAGTGACAAAAAGTAATCAAAAGAGGAAAAACAGGATTAGCTATATTAGACAAGATGCCAAAATACAGTATGCAGTATGCAATAATACCTTTTTTTATTGGACTAAGATAAAACTTAAAAGACAAGCTTTCAAGTGTTTTCCTCTCTTACTCAGGTCTGAAGTGTATTGCTGAGGACCTGAGGAAGAGACGAAAACTCTGCAATACTATGGTATTTTGGGTTCATGTAAAAAATAAATAAAAATATATATATATATATATATATATATATATAATGTTCAAGTAGAGATTGTAGCCGTATTAGTCCAGTGATGTAGATGTAAAAACAGAACATTTGTATCTTGTAATGCCATTTTTATTGGACTAACATAATTTTTTAATGACAAGCTTTCGGAAGAACCTCTCTTTCTCAAGTCTAAAGCATTTCTGAGCAAGACGACACATAAAATTCAAAGTTGAGTTGTGATACAGGGGTTAAAGGGACATGAATGCAGATAAGACACAGGTTTGTTAGAGAATATACACCATTCTTGCAGGGGGTCGTACATATCTTGTTCAGAAATGTTTTAGACTTGAGAAGGGGAGGTTCTCCCGAAAGCTTGTCATAAAAAAATTCTATTAGTCCAATCAAAAAGGTATTACAAGTTGCAAATTGAATCTGTTTATATATATACTAGACACAATGTACTCTCAGCTAGAACATGTCCAGCAAAAAAGTACAAAGAAAATGGGTTACAGGGGTACTAAAAGGGCCTAACCCTTATCTTAACAAATATGCAGAAAAAATATAGAAATGAGGGAGGAGCAACCCTAGAAAACGGGAGCAGATCCCCTCAGCAGGAAAAAAAAGTGATGTGAGAAAGGCTGAACTTGACTGAGCTTTAGTTTGTTCAGTAAATATGTATATATGGCTGTATATAATTATGTAACATGGTCCCTTGGGTGCAAAAACCTAATGTTTTTACCAACAGTCTTATGTTGCTCTATATAGACCTTGGTCTCAGGCTATGACATTTGGGGATCTGGTGTTTAGAGCAAAGGTATACTACTCATTGGAAGATATGCTAAAATGGGCTAGGGTTTGGTGCCCAAAAGGTAGATTGCCACATGTAAAACTACTACTATTTAGGGCTGGCAATATTGTACAGCCACTAGAAACTACCATTTGGTTAGGCTAAGCTTAGGTGGGTATTAAGGGGCTGCTATACAGTGGCGTCTCCAGGATTCATACTTGGGGGGGCACATAAGGGGCCAGAGACAAAAGTAGGGGGGTCAGTTCTAAAATGTGTATATATGTGTGTGCTACACATATATATGTGCTATATATGTGGCATTTGTCAGCCCTTTGTTAAGCCACGCAGGAAATATTAAAGCCGGCACGCGAGGGAGCAGGGAGGGAGCAGCAACCTTCCTGCAGTTCCTCTTTGCTCCCTTGCGTGCTGTTTAGTGACATGATGTCACTCCGACCCCGGCATCACTACAGAGAGCACGCAGGGCAGCAGAGAGAAACTGCAGGAAGATTAAGAGGAGACACACTAGACGCGAGGGAAAGATCCACTCAGCTCTCCCAAAGGTAGGGAGGCTGGATGGATTTGAATTAAAATTAAAATAGCAATTTGTGAGTGTGTCATAAAATATGTGTGTGTGTCTCAGTCAGAGAGTGTGTGCCTGTCAATGTATGTCTGTCAGAATGTGTGTATGTTTGTCAATGTGTGTCTCAGTCAGAGACTGGGGGTGGAGCTCGCATATGGGGAGGCGATCTTCTATGCAGGGGCAGAGCTTGTGTGCCTCATTGCTCCCAACTTCAATTTCAATTGGGGGTGCACTGCATGATGTAGGGGGGCCATGGCCCCCTCTGCCCCCCTCCCTCCCCAGCAACGCCACTGCTGCTATATCCTGATAACATGCCATGCTTTATGAATTGAATGTGTATGTTCAGATTTCTATGCTGTCATAGAAAGGTGGATGAAATCAGATGTCCTATAATTCAGCGAACTAGCGGTAGCAATACACCTTTTGCATAGCATGATTACCCGTAAGGTGACCTAAAATCCTAGACAGGGTCCCCAGAACCTAGAAGACAATTGCCCAAATGTGAACCCACTCACCATTATAACCTTAAAGGACCACTATAGTGCCAGGAAAACATACTCGTTTTCCTGGCACTATAGTGCCCTGAGGGTGCCCCCACACTCAGGGTCCCCCTCCCGCCCGGCTCTGGAAGGGGGAAAGGGTTAAAAACTTACCTTTTTCCAGCGCTGGGCGGAGAGCTCTCCTCCTTCTCTCCTCCTCCGTTCCTCCTCCTGGGCTGAATGCGCACGCGCGGCAAGAGCTGCACGCGCATTCAGCCCGTCGCATAGGAAAGCATTTACAATGCTTTCCTATGGACGCTTGCGTGCTCTCACTGTAAAAATCACAGTGAGAAGCACGCAAGCGCCTCTAGTGGCTGTCAATGAGACAGACACTAGAGGAAATAGGGGGAAGGCTTAACCCATTCATAAACATAGCAGTTTCTCTGAAACTGCTATGTTTATAAAAAAATGGGTTAACCCTAGAAGGACCTGGCACCCAGACTACTTCATTAAGCTGAAGTGGTCTGGGTGCCTAGAGTGGTCCTTTAAGAGTGAGAGGGGGAATCTGTTATATGCCTGAGGTCCTGTGGTATCTCAAATTCTTCTCTTCGTTTTTTGTCTTCACCTGTAGTCTCTTGACAAAAACATTTATTCCTAGTACTGTTTAAAAATAGCAGGGCAAAATAAGGTATACATTAATAAATGTTGTAAAATGCTTATTTTATGCGTGAGAAGAAAATGCATTATAGTCTGAACATATTTTTGGAATGTATTCATTGAATTGTGAGATGACCGGTGTCTGCATCATTCATAACATTCACACGTCACTGATGTTTTCATTGTAATAACATCTCTAGAAAAGTGTTGACTGATCCATAAATTAGCCATAGAGCAAGCAAACTGTCAGTGGTTAATTTCTAAAGCTGCCCAGTACAAAGCAATGTAAATGTGGTAGTACATTGACTCCTTGACATTGGGTCGTAGGTGGTTGACATGTGTGAGTGAAGGTAAACCTGTCATCTGCACAAAGGCCTACATCAAGCCTACTGCCTTCTTGCTGAGCTCAGCTTAATTTGTCAGATTATTACTGGGACATGTGGTGCATCTGTCCATTCTG